ATTCCTGGGCTGACCTTTCTCTTAGTCCTAACTTTTCCAATTTTTGGAACATCTAAGCGCTTCAGAAATGCTTTTGCCCCCCCCAGTACCCTTGCAGGAGAGGCAAGATCTATTACCTCTTTTTGGAGATGATCTGCAAATAGTGACTCAGGTGCATGTTCTGCTTTGTAAAGAAACTCAAGCTAAATATGAGTAAGCTCAGATACTGGACTAAGAATGAGCATATTAGCAAGACATTCTGCCTGGGTTAATTTCCTTCCTTCTCTAATATTCCTTTCTATGTTAATTGTCCAAACTACACATAGTTAATTCTCCCTAAGTATAGTGTCCACTGATGTGCTTCTATTGCTTCAGTGCATAAGCTTCCCTATGAACAGCTAACTTTAGAAGTACAGCAGATTTATATTATACTAACATAACGTTAATATCCACTCACACAAAGGTTGGAAGAGGGTAAGCAACTGAGCCTAGATTTTCAGAGCCAAGAACTCCTGCCTTTCTGCTCTCTTCTACAAAGCTGTTTTGAGAAAGAATATGAACAGTTTTCTTCCCTTCTGGTGCCTGTACAGGAGAGCCTCTAACTCTGTCCTGAGAAGAATGGGTGCAAACCAACACAATGGACCTCATGAAAAAAAAAAAAATTCTTCACAGCAGGAGGAGCTGGACTGGGCTTGTAGTCCCTTTAGAAGAGGAATCCTAGGTGTCTGGGTGACTAGTCAGCATGCTGAGATACGCAGTGCGCACTGATCAGGGTCCACCATCATTGTTTTTTTTAACGCAGTCATAAACAAAACCCACCTACCATCCACCCAGACCACAAGAAGTTCACCTCAGTATTTCTGCTTATTCTGGAAGGATTAGCTAGATCACAGATTATTTCATTTGCTTCTTGGATAAGTTGTTCAAAAGAAAAGAATGCCCAATCAACTGCCAATAGTTTCTCATAAAAAAGTTTTGACAGAAGAAAATGCATGGTTTTCAATTTGAGGAAGTAGAAGTGTCTGTAATTTACAGAGCAATCATGATTACTATATTAAATATGTAAATATGTACATACCCTATTAAAGCCTGCATTAAGAAGGGGAAGAACAGAAGTCTCTTCTTGGTCAACAGATCTACAAAACAAAATGTATGGTCACACAACATTTCAGAATTAGATGGTATCAATTTGACAGTTACCTAAACATAATGAATGCAGTGAGAACACTCTTGCATAAAATACATACATAAAATCATACTACTATGGAAGTTGGTGCTATAATCTTCTTTTATAGGTATTTGCAGCTATATACTACAACCTGATAGTTATTCCTACAGCAAACCTGACAGATACCCTACAGAAGTCATGTGTCTCTTCACAGACACACAAGGGCATGCAAAAAGAAGCATGAAGAGGATAAAAGACAACCTATGAGAAAGAATCTAAAAAAGCGTTACTAAGTAAAAGATTAAGTAAATTGTAAAGTCTTGCTCAGCAGCAAACTTAATCTGTTTTCTAATCTTGGCAGGAATAGTTCTTCTCCTGCCACTCTATTTCCTAATATTTTAATTGAGCTAGGAAATTAATAAAGTTAGAATAGATTCAGTAGCATGCAGTAGTTTTAACAAATACAGGAAAGGTGTCTTTTTCAAGGGTACTTGATAAACAATGTATTTAAGTCAGTAAGAATTCTGCCTGAATATACAGAGTATAAATTACTGAACAAGGATTTCAGGACAATGTTCTGTGAGTTTAGGACAAACAGGATTGAAGTTTACTCCATTACCCAGTTCCCTAATAACCATAGTGTGTTTTTTGATCTGATTATTTCCTTTAGAAAGTAATGCACAGCTTTCTACTTTTTTCCTCTTTTAGAAACCAACACATAGCTTTCTGGTTTTTTTCATTACATTATGATCCTCTGAAGATGACAGGGATAGTACTGGTCTGTATAAATGGAAAGTTATCAAATACTTAAATAGGACACATAAAACATCACCAACCCATTTCAGGTAAAATAATATTAAACTTACTCTATGAGGCTTTCTAGTAAGGCGCTTCCTGTTATTAGATAACTATTATATATAGTACAATACATAGTGTAATAGTATGTACTATTATATATTCTTGTCAAATAAAAATCTTTTACAGAATAGTAATACTTACGTGCGTGGAACCACAGCAAGTATTACAGTGTGCTCTGATGGTTTTGTGGCACGAATAGACCTGAGGAAACAAAAATTTCTCAGTTACACTAGATGCTTTCTCAGTGTTACTCTAAGTATCTTCACAGGCAATATAAATGAAAACCAGGATTGAAAGATACCATCGAGCCTAGAAAATAGGATATCACACTGCCCAAACCCACCTATCCCCATTTAGACAATCCATTTCCATTTTGCTACCAGATTCCTCAGATTTTACTCAATGCAGTGACGAGTCAAGAGCTCCAAAAACACATGAAGAGCAGCTCTTCAAATCTACTCTTATAACCTAGCAAAGGTTTGCCCTGATTACTTAGCTTATTTGGGGCAGACTGCCCTGACTGCATGGGTTGAGAAAGGTCAGCCTATACAACGTATTTTCAATACCCATTAGCTAATTTAAACATGAATCTCTACCACTTTCTCCCATATTTGTCATTGTCCTTCTAGATATTGCAAAATTTTCTTTAGAGGGTGGGAAATGCTTTTGGGGCATGTAAGTAAGAAAAGAGGGCATAGCAAATGTATATGATAGACTATCATTTATGAAATACTGAATAAACAAAATTTTAGCACTTTACATATTATTGAGAAACTGAAAATATATGACCAACTATCAGAAGAACACTCCCATTCACCCTTTACTGTCTAAAGATAACTTTTTTCAATGATGTCACACTGTCCTGAATAAACAGTCTTTATATTTATTTGTTGGTCTTTTAGAATAACTTCCATCAGCACAAGTATTTGAGCTCTAAAATGCTCCTTGTCATAAACATGGCAAATTTCAGCTCATGATGGACTGAGAAGCACACTATGGTGTATGGTACAAAACGTATGCTTCAGCTGAACGAGTGTATTTTAGCAAAGAATCCCTTAGAGCTGCTAAGACAGAGTCACGTGGACCAGAAGAGTGATGTGAATTTTTGTGAAGAGCTAGCAGTCCCTGACCCAGTGGACAAACAAACACATTCCTTTGAAGCCCTGCAGGTTCAGACTTTGCTGCAGCGGTAACCCAGGAAAGAAGCAGGCACAGACAGCAGTGAATAATTTCACAACAGCTCTGGCTTATGCTCTGACAGAAGCCCAAGATCTAAAGAGACAATTTTACAATTCAGCTTTGCCAAAAGTATATTTTTCATATTGTTCTTTTCTTATAGATGTATGCAAACCTCCTGGCCTCAATCCCCAAATTTCCATTTTACTATAGTTTTGGGAGTTCATTTCTTGTTTGTTTGTTTGTTTATTTTGTTTTTTCTCTATTTTTTGTTTCTAAAATTAGGAGGTTTGGTTTTGCATGATATATTCTGAAGTTCAAGAGAAGCATAAGGTCCTTCAGGTTACCTGCAGATATCTTCCGCATCAAAATATCTGGAGTTCCTGTGATCTATAACAATTATTTCCTGGTGCTTATCAAGAAAACATTCAAGCGCTGACTCTGGAGTCCGGGCAATATTGCACCTGTATCCAGCTCTGTCACAAGCCCACCAGAAACCATCACTTTGGTTGTCTTCTTTTGCAAAGATCAGCAAAACCTGCAAAGCATGCAAAATAGCTGCACCACATTAAACATACAAAGTAGTGCAAATCTTAGCAAACACTTCTGCTGCATTAAAGATCGAGTCTACTTTGCAAGTGAACTACAGAATGCAAAATGGCTGATGTAGCAGGGCAACTTTCTTAATAGGCAGAGTGATTATCAAGAGGTAATCAATAGTTAACTGCGTAGGACTGATATTCAGGACAAAACGAGCTGCCAGATGATGAGTCTCTTATAACTCATGTTCAAATTCAATCAGCAGCCACCCAGAGTAGGTGGGTAGGTGTTCAAACATCATTGCCACTCTTATCAGGCCATCCCATCTACAAACGCTTTTAATTGTATTGAAGTATCTGAAATGCAACTGCCTTAATTATCACTCTTCAGGGACAAACAATTAACACAGTTTTATTCATTATATCTCCTTTGATGTACAACAAAATGGAGTTGACCCATAGTCTTTCAAAACTGAAAAGAACAATGGACGGGGAAGAATAGTGATTCAAATATCACTATCATTAAATTGTCCCTGATTATGTAAATCTATGAGGTAGTTTTGACAACTTCAGCTGAACGCTTAAGGAACTGCTCACACAAGATGCATGCTGAGGCGCTGTTCTAAGAATCAAACTGGTGGTATAGAAAGATTGTTTGCTAACTGTCACACAACATCTTTTTTAGGAGAGAACAAATTTTTCATCCTTGCCATAGAATACATACATTATCAGCATACAGATTACACGGCTAGGTACACAAGTCATGTAGACAGTCCCTTTCACAATTTGCACGGATTTACCATAGCAGCTGATCACTAACCATGCCACTCCTGTGTGACAGGTGAAGAAAAAGGTTAATTTAGTGAAAATATGTTGTGAAAAAGAAAGCCCTCAAAAAGTTGAAAGTTCATCCACAGCTGTTCAAATTGCACAGAAAGGCAGCAGCCAGAGAATAATCTATGTATAAAGCAAAATCCTGTTCATTTCACAAATAAAAGTCATCTGACATCACTGAAACAATCTGTCAATATGCACAATTTTGCCCCAAACACTCATAAGAAAGGTCAATAACCTTTCACCTGTGTTGCTCTCTGCAGCTGCAGTGTCACCATGTGAAATTCAACACCCTCAGTTTAGAAGCTAGAAAAGGTGACCATAACTTTTCTCTTATCTTGAGCTGTCTGGATTGTTGAATTCTGAACAATGAACAAATCAATTAATGTTACTGTGGCAGGACAACCAGTCAAGGTTTTATTAAACAGTGAAAGAAACTCATATGCTTGAAATTTCCATAAATATTAAGAAACAAGTTTCTATTTTTTAGAAAGAGCATTTTTAATTGCCGTTGACAATAAGCTGTTTTCAATACGTTACTGCCACTTAACACCCAAGGTAACTGTTGTCACTCTACCTAATCCCTGAATTTTTTCCAGCCATCGAAGTGTTGGAAAGCAATGACGTTGTTGACTTGCAGACTTTGTTTGTGGATACCCAGGTGAAGTCCCTGCTCTGATACAACCTTCTGTTTGGTTCCAGCAGCTACTAGTTTTATTTTATTCTGAGTTTGATTGGTACAATATGGTTCAGGAAAAAGTTTTTTTCCAGGGGGGCACATTTTTTAATATCTTCCTTCTCTCAACATTCCCAGATTGGAAATAAAAGATTGCAAAATGCAATAATTTACCAGCTGTAAAATAATGGAGCTTAATTAAACCACCCAATTTCCCACTGGTAGCTGATTATCAGTGTGTGACTCCTTCTGAGAGTATTAACTTTACAAGTTTTTTTTAAGCATTACTACCATGCTTTCTCATTAACTTTTGTATGAAGCTTACTATAAACCATCAAAACATAATGTAACTGCAATTATATTGCAAAATATGCTCTCAAAATCAAGACAAAAATATAACAATCCATATAAACAACACTGGCAAGGAAAAGCTTGAATTCAGTGTGTGTTTCTTGGCAAAATCCCCATGTAGCTATTTGTTGGCATATAATTTTTCAGTGTTACTTAAAGATCTTTTTACTCAGTGCTGCCCTGGTTTAGGAGCGCCGTGGACTTCTCATGTGGAGACCTTTACATTTTCTGGTGATGTATTGGTATTTTTACCATCTTTCTAAGTACTTGCTTCGTACAACTATTGCATGTCTTGTTACAGAAAACGGACAGAGATTTGCTTTAAAGAGCTTGAAATAAAAGAAGAGACACCAGCTGAGTACAGACACATAGGCTACCACAACAAAACAGAAAACTACAAACAGCAACTTAATAAGTAAAAATAAAGTTAATTATTATTTTTATGTTATTGTATCCCAGCAAGAGAGTTTTAAAGTGGAAGACACTTGGTGGCTCTGAATTAAGTTATGGAGGAGCTCTTGTTACACTGAAAATTGGCATGGGGGAAAAGTAAAATACTGTGCATCATCATGCTTCGTTTGCAGCTCAACAGGGAAGATCTCTGTCATCAGAACAGAAATGGAGTTTGGTGTCAATGCTGTGAAAGAGATGATAAGAGAGATGAATGTCCTAAGAGGTGAGAAAATGCACTGTGTGAATGGGGGACACATCCAGACCTTTATCAGCCCTGGATAAACCACTTCTGCAAAGGGGTAAGACAGCTTTTTTACGTGCACTAAACATTTATAAAAACCATTTACATGTGCTTTTGTCATGGTCACATCTAAGGTCTTGGAACCAAACCATGCCTATTTTGCAAGCCTTGGTACAAAATCGGGGCAGACATGCAAGCTGCATGTGGGGATGGCGTGTGGAGGGTCGGAGCTGGTAGGTTTGCTTTGGACTCTTCCTCTTGCCCCTTAAGGCCAGCAGCACCTGGGTCATGATCTAGTACAAACCAAACCAGATTTGTCCTCCAACACAGATGGTCATAAAGCCCAGTGAGGAATCTATTAAATAGTTTATGGCAGGTCACAGTCACAAGTAAGGTGACCTCTCCGACAAAAAATACAGGCCATTTTGAGGTTGGCGCAGCATAAAACATGCACCAGAATAAAATGAACATCGCTAAGGAAAGCCCCTGTGGCTATTGTTTTAACAAACTAAATTGACTTATCAGACAATTGTGAACATGATTAAGCACCCACAAATAGACATTTAAAATCCGATATTCAGTAGCTGTTTGCACTGCACAGAGAAACATGTAACTCCATTGTCAAGATGGAATAAAAGATTAACACACATTTTTTAAATGCTTGGATGTGTGCAATACTTGCCAAATTAGCTTATTCCACAAACAAAGGAGGTGGGTTTACATAAAGTGTTTTACCTTTACTGTAAATAAGTTAGTGTTTGGCAATGTCTTTATAGAAAACTTCAGTTATTGGTTTTACTTAAATTCTGTTTTCTGCCTAACTTAAGGTCTTCTGTGGTACCACCATAGATTCTCACTTGTGTAATGTAGGGATAAAATAACATCCACACCTGACAAGATACCAAGAAGAATGTTAAACTCTTAAAAACAACAAAAACCCCACTTTCCCTTCTTATATGAAAAATCTTCACTTATAACACTGGTACTATGATATTTTGGCACATCATATTTCTACAAAGTGAAATCCTGACATAAGCACTGAGAGTATTTGTGTTTGTTAAATATCTGCTTGACCACCTTTCTGAAGATGATCACAGTCTAAAGAACATTTTTCTGTGAAGAATTCCACACTTTTGTGTTGAAATTCCTTGGAAAACCAAGTTGGTCTACTGCTGAAGCTGCCGTTCCATAGTTGTTTTACAATATAAACAAATACTTTAATCAGATCAAGTCATCATTAAGACTGAATGCTGAATACAGAAATAAAAATGTAAAGCTTTATGATGCATATACACATGATTTATTTTCCTTGAGAATAACATTTCTTCCACATGTAGGTTTTTCCTCTCATAGCCAGATACAGGGGGAAAAAAATCCCAAAACAAAACAGAAAAGGTGACTGGTGACTAAATGTCTCTGTATTTTACAGAGTTAAGTGACCAAAAAAGTTAATTCAAATGAATGCTGTATCACTAAAGCAATGTTAAAGACTAAGATAATTTATTTCCTATAATCTGAGTGCTCTGACACCCACTATAAGCTAAAAAAGTAACACTGGGCATCTGTTTGCTGTCACAGGAACAAAATGTACAGAAACAAGCAAGTACGATTGAGAGTGTTGCTCCTTAACCTGAAATCAACTTGTGATGTTGGAAGTGGTGTGCTTTCTTGGATCGGTGACCTGTAAAAGCACAGTTCTCTATCCTGTTGTGCAAAACCCAGCAAGACTCACTGGGTACCTAAACTTTGTAATGGAGAATGGAGCTCTCTGCTTTGGTATATCAGAACTGAACAGTTTTTAACACCCAGAGAGGCAGCTCTTTCCCCTGATAATGCATATACACACACACTCCTGTTGACAGAACGTAGAACAGGAATTATGATGATGGAAATCTAAGCACCTTGTTTACCAAGTTAATTTACTTGTGGATCTCTTTCTCAAGCAATCAGACAAACCAAAACACCAATTATCCATCTCACAAGTCCTCGCACAAGTAAAATGAAAATATTATACTTAACTGTAGGGGTTGAACCTTAATTTCTTCATCCATTAATACTGAATTGACTGTATCAAGAAACTGAAAGAGCATCTTACCTGAATTGGATCTTGTGTCAATCTCATGGGCCCAATTTGTACTTCTGTAGTTGAAGCCTGCTAAAGAAAAGATTCTTTTTTTCAGACTGGTTCTTAACAAGATAGCAATTTACATGCAAGAATGCAAGATTAAAGAGAACCATGAAAGACTCTCAAAGGCAGGCAGACATATGACTAGCAGCCTTAATTTAGTTGCCTTGAAGTGTATCATTTATGAACATATTTTACCAAACTCCTAATTTTATTTGCCTCTCAGTTAAAAATTGTAGGGTTTTAAATAAGGAAACAAGAAACACCACTTCCTTTCCCCTCTCTCCCCAACAGAGTATGTTGGTTACACAGAAGGACTTGTATTTTCCTTAAGTCTACAGAAAGCTACTTTTTTTCTGGCCAAAAATTACATTATTCATTTTAATGTAATACAGAACTTGTATAAAAGGTATTGTCACATATATTCAATAATAATATTTTAATGGGTTTGTTTAGAAAAAAAGTAATTTTTCAGTGAAGATACCTTGTTTGGATTGCAGATTTAAAACTTTTCCAGAACCATAGCCTTTAGTTTGCAGGAAAAAACATTGCCACCATGTGAGCCATGACATTTTCAGAAGACATGAGAGCACATGATAATCTAAAGCTACTGCAAGAAAGCCAGCAGACGTTGGCTATGGCTGCTTTGTTGCCATATTTCCTAGGAGTTGGACTACCTTAATACTTTTTGTGTCTTGACACGTTTCATACACTTCTCTTCTACACTACTGATTTGTTTCACTGCAGACCATTAGCTGCAGAAGGTTGTTAAGCAACTGAACAATACCTGTGTCCTCCCACAGATGCAAGTACGTAAGGAAAAGAGTCTTTGAACCCTTAAAATATTGTTCCCCTCATGCCTATGGAGTTTGCAAGTTAGCAACCTCCAAAAGAGCAGATTCTCTGCTTTTCTGGTACCAGTTACCCCAGGTGCCTGGTGTAGATGAGTTAAAGCAATTGTCCTGCAAGACATGTAATTTGAACAAAACCCTGGTTGTAGGCAGACTCCCAGGACAGTTCCCTCACACACAGGAATCCCGGAGCCTTATTTCTGCAGCATTTTGCTCTGCAGTTCTCATTACTTTGAGCCTTTTGTCCAGGTATTACCTTATTCTTAAATTTATTATTTTGCAAAGGAATGTGTATAAGCATTCCAAATGGATGAAGTTACCAGGATTCAATTTTTTTTCCTTATACAACACAATACTGTGTTAAGTATTAACAGCCTTGCCTGCATGTGAGACAGTGGTATTATGTATAGCTACAACTGACACGTTAGACTTTCATGCACCACCGAGCATCGATTCTTCTCAGCCCAACAATGTACGTCAGAGCGTGGTAACAGGCAGTACTCCAAAAGATTAAGCTACAAAGCCTGCCACTGTTTTCCATGGCAAAATTTACCCCCAATATAAGTGTAGTTAACCTCTCCTTTTCTCACACAAAAGCTTCACTTCCCACTTGAGCTCCTGCCATAGCAAATGTAACTTAAGCCAGTAAGTGTATCAGAATAGAAATGAAAGTCAGCACCCACCATCAACCATGAGTTATGAGTGAGGTTAGAAAAACAGTTGTCTGAAAGCTCCCAACCCCTCTTCCTCCCACAAAAAAAAGAAAAACAGCACATTCACACTCCAGTGGTATTATATAGGAAACTCTTAAATAAATTTTTTATCATGATTCACTTTGATTAAAAAAAAAAGTTTGAAAGTAGTCTCATTAGATGAATCTGCAAGAATACACAGCAGACTTGGGTTAGTATCAGTGCAAAAGCTTCTTTTTTTTACGATGCACAGCTCTGACTGTCCTAGAGAGCCTGGGATCCTTTGCAGAAGGCAGTTAGGACACAGATACTTATTTTACTATTAATTTATTAGTGCTACCAGGGAACTGACATTGTAAATGAATGCTTTCCACTTGTCCACCACTTCAGAGGACATCCAGCTTAAATTACTCTGTTTTGTCCAAGATGGAATAACTGTGTCTCAGACATAGATTGATGTAGGCAAGTCTTATCAGTCCCTTTACAGAGATTTCTTTACAGGGTAGCCACTTCGCTTAGCCTGAGTATTTTAAGACAACAACAAAACATCCACACAACTGTGACTCAGGGTTTGTCTCCCTGCTGCTTCTGTGTCAGCCTCACGAATAGAAAATACCTGAATAGAAAGACCTAAAAATCAGGGTCACTCTCTCTTTCCCCCTCCCAATTTCAGGGTATTCCTGCCTTTGCTAACAGTAGGAAAGCTTCATGAGTATTAGAAAATCTGAGAGCCCCCATGTCGGTGAACTTGTCCCCATCCTGCTCTGCACAGACATGATAGGATCAGAACCACACAGGGATGCAGAAAAGGTGCTGCTATATCTGAAAGGTTGCCACATAAAACCTTTAAGTCCTTAGGTTGCTCAACTTCATTAATTACACAATGCATGGAATCAGATGGGACCCTCAAATTAAGATTGGTAATGAGCACAGGAAGGACTAATAAGCCTTCTCACCAGATACAGCAGAAAGTATGTCTGAAATCCTCTTCCCTGGACTTTGGAGTTCTGAGCTTTGTTTTACAAACTGAATCAGTCCCTTGGATTTGCATGTCCAAGTTGCTCTGGGTACAAGCGAGTTCTCACTCTTTCAAAATGCAGCTAGAGGAGGCAGCAAGAATCATGATGTGAGTGCCTGGATTTCACAAATGTTCCACAGACCTCTCTTTGGCCTGAAAGAACTAATTCCACATCTTCTTAACTCCCAGAAGAATCTGACCACGTCGACATTGCGTACTAGTGATATCATGATCATGCCTCTGCTTATTTCCTGACTTAAGTGAATATCTCATTGCTGATGATTTCCAATTTAAATAAATCTCTCATTATTTGTTTGACTTGCAGGAAGGACTGCTAATAAATCTGCAACCTAGATCAATTAGTATGTAGCTCATAACAAACTTTTCTGGTAAAATATGTGAAAAGAAGACTGGTTCCAGTCCTGTCAGCCTCACCTCTGTGCCTGGGAAGATCATGGAACAGATCCTCCTAGAAGCTATGCTAAGGCACATGGAGGCCAGGGAGATAATTCGAGATAGCCAGCATGGCTTCACCAAGGGCAAGTCCTGCCTGATGAACCTAGTGGCTTTCTATGATGGTGTGACATCAACGATGGACAGAGGGAAACCAATGGATGTCATCTATCTGGACTTCTGCAAGGCCTTTGACACGGTCCCCCCAACATCCTACTCTCTAAATTGGAGAGCTATGGATTTGATGGGTGGACTGTTCAGTGGATAAGGAACTGGCTGGATGGTCGCATCCAGAGAGTAGTGGTCAATGGCTCGATGTCCAGATGGAGACTGGTGACGAGTGGTGTCCCTCAGGGGTCCGTACTGGGACCGGTGCTCTTTAACATCTTCATCAATGACTTAGACAGCGAGATCGAGTGCACCCTCAGCAAGTTTGCGGATGATACCAAGCTGAGTGGTGCGGTTGACACACCAGAAGGAAGGGATGTCACCCAAAGAGACCTGGACAGGCTAGAGAGGTGGGCCTGTGTGAACCTCATGAGGTTCAACAAGGCCAAGTGCAAGGTCATGCACCTGGGTTGGGGTAACCCCCAGTATCAATACAGGCTGGGGGAAGAAAGGATTGAGAGCAGCCCTGCCCTCTTGCAGGACACACTTGTAGGCAACTGCCGATCTCTTTTTATGCTGTGCAAGCTTTTCACAGTCAGACACTATTTTGTGAGAACAAATTCTAATCAGAGCCTACCAGTAATTTCACTTTGCTGGAAATAAATATTATTTAGGAGGCGCTTCTGTCGTCACACAGCTCTAGCTGTTCTTCAGTTTCTGACCAAATCTTCGTAATCCTGGAGTACTGCGTCCAGCTCTGGAGCCCTCAGCACAAGAAGGACATGGAAATGTTGGAACAGGTCCAGAGGAGGGCTACAAAAATGATCCGAGGGCTGGAGCACCTCTCTTATGAGGACAGGCTGAGAGAGTTGGGGTTGTTCAGTCTGGAGAAAAGAAGGCTACGGGGAGACCTGATTGCAGCCTTCCAGTACCTAAAGGGGGCCTATAGGAAAGATGGGGAACGTCTTTTTAGTAGGGCCAGCTGTGTTAGGACAAGGGGAAATGGTTTTAAACTAGAACAGGGTAGGTTCAGGCTAGAGGTAAGGAAGAAATTTTTTACAATGAGGGTGGTAAAACACTGGAACAGGTTGCCCAGAGAGGTAGTGGAGGCACCATCCCTGGGAACATTCAAGGCCAGGTTGGATGGGGCTCTGAGCAACCTGATCTAGTTAGCAGTGTCCCTGCTCCTGCGGGGGTGTTGGACTAGATGACCACTAGTGGTCTCTTCCAACCCTAAACATTCTATGATTCTGTGATTCTATGACAGTCAGAAAATCCCTGATTTCAGTGAGCAGTGGAACAGACACAGGGTTGAAAGCAAAGAAATCATAAATAAACTAACCATCTAGAAATAACAAAAGATTAAAAACAATGAAGAATTTTTTGGTTTAACATTTTAAACTGCCCAATGTTATTTCCAGTGTCATTCTAAACTCCTAGGTAATCTCCACAGGAATCAGCTATTAATCAAAGAATTAAAGACTGTCACTAGTACTTTCCTAAATCCTATGATTTTATGTAAATCAGTGATCATAGATTACCTTAGTATAATAGCAGTACCATTAAGCAAAATGTATTTACCACTTCATTAAAGTTCCACCTTTTACATACTTTTACCCCCTCCATATGCCTGCAGACTTACAGCCCTGCAGTTTACGAATCATCAAAAATTAATAACGTAACCACTGTAAAAATAATGACTAATTAGTACAGTAAAATCTTGAATAATTCTTCATTGCTCCAGAGGAGCAACAGCAAGTAGAACCAACCAAGCATTGAAGCAAAGGTGTTAGTGAGTTTAGCCTCCTGGAAAGGCTCAGGATTGATATGCCAGTTGAGAAGCATCACATAGACGCCAAGGTCCCTATGGACACCCTTTTGCCCTGAAGG